TGTCATTTCTTAAATCGATCTGTGGGTTCTTACTGGTGTTACTGGTTCTGTTAGGGAGACCATGTGTTCACAGGAAAACTGAAGGTGAGACTCAGACTTTGTTTTTCAAAGTAAATTATTTTGATGTGATATTCACTAATATGTTTCTCTAAGTAAATTATTTCTCTGTTCATTCTGGCTCCTTTCAGCTGATGGGGGACATGTTGGAGGTGACGTCACGTACAGAGACAGAAAATCACAAGTCATCAACAACAGCCAATCAGAAGAAGCAGAGGTAGTGTTTGATATGCTGTGTGTCCAGTGTTCATGCTGAAAGAAAAGATAAAACTCGGTTAAAGGATCTCTGTGAACTCACTGAGCTTAAGTTAATGTGTTAAACACAATTAAAACTCCATAAATATTCCTTGTATAATATAATGTTTCCACATTCACATTTGTTAAAGATTGAGTCAGTTTGGCTTCATCCCCAAAATCTTTCTTCCATACTTCACATTAGATAAGAAAATAAATGAATAAATAAATGCATTTTTACTATGACTCTGAATTTAAATATAAATGGATGAGTCACATTTAAAGAGTCAGGGAGTAACATGGATGAAATGCTAAGTTTACACTGGTTTATTTTTTAATTCTTTCCACTTTGGAGGTTTTTCAGTTTTTACATTTTCAATTTCTTCCTCTCGATTTTAAAGTGACGTCAGTTTTTATTTTTAGATTTTCTTGGGGTTTTCTAGTCACGTTGCTGTGCATGAGTCACACAACTTTATGAATACAATAAGTCATTATGTACAACATCTCATACAAGTTCAAACATTGGTGACTTTGACCAATGATTCAGATGTGAAGCTTTCTGAAAGTATTTTTAATGCAAAAACTCAAAGAGGTCAAATATGATTTCTGAATGCTGAATGAATGTTTTTCTCTGCATGTTGGGCTGTGGGTTTTTCAGCCTGTGGTTAGTCTGTTAACAGAAACTAACAGCTCTGTGGTCGTCATGTTTCCTCTGTCAGATAAAAATACTTCAGCTGCTCAGGTCGTCATGCAGGACTGTTACTGTACAAACAGAATCAAACATTGTTGTTGAAAAATAAGTTTGTTTTCTTTTAAAAACACATTTTAATATTACCAGTTTTATAACTTGTAGTACTTGCAGTGATGTCCTCTGTGTGTTTTATTGTGCAGAGAGTGATCCAGCTGTTGTCCTGAGAACTGAAGACATCAGTTATGGACAAACAGCTGTCTGACCAAACAGGTACAGCTGCTGTTTATTAATTAAAATCAGAATAATTCTTTTTATTTTCCACATTTAGTAAAAACAGTAAATAAATGTCCGAGGTTGTTAGAGACCTGCAGCAAGCTTTCTTCTCCACACTGAATCAGGTCTTAGCTCACTATGCTAGTAAATAACAGTTTGAAGTAAATCATCAACAGCTCAGTGAGAGGAAACCGAAAGTAGAAAAGCACCTTTAAAGAAATCCAAGGTGAACAAGATGATCCCTTAAAAATGTCAAATCATTGATATGATGTTATGAATTGTAACTGTTACTACAATAATGCTTTACTGTTATAAAGAATTTTGCAATCAGGCTTCATGTTTACTGTGTACAAAAAGTCCCAAAAAACATTTGCATCACTTACTTCATATTTAATACTGAAACTTCTTCAAATTCCCCAAAAGTTTCAGTTTAATTTAAATTGAACTCACATAAATGAAGCTTTATCTTGAGCTGGTTTCTCCTGTAAGTAGTTTGATCCTTCAGAGACAATATCTGCCTCACCGTCTGAACCCTCAACATCAAATGTAAATTTATTACCAATGTGTTTATTAAATCATCTCCCCATTCTGTCAGTTTACTTCACATAAACACAACAGAGGGTTTTAGAGTTGCTTATTCTTCTCATGTTGAACTGTGTGTGTTTGTGTTCAGACTTTAAACCAGAGCCACTCTACTCTTTACTGATGTAGTCCACCAGTCCAACGACGTCCAGCTGCTGGTCTCTAACTGGCCCACACGGCCTATCAGACACGTCTGTGAAGGTTCTCAGTCATCCAGGTCATCGTTGTTTAAAGAGCTTGGAAAGAAAAGCGTCTGGACTTCTTTAAGTTGCTTGAAGACGTTTCACCTCTCATCCGAGAAGCTTCTTCAGTTCTAAGGTCAAATAGTGGAGAGTCCCAGATTTAAACCCAGTGGGAGTGACCACCACGAGGGTCATGGACCCCTTATTGGTCCTCTACCTAATCACATTCCTGGGAAGGATCTCAAAACTGGATTATAGACAGCAGATAGTTGGTGTCGTAAACCTCTGCCTCTGTTCAAAGGTGGTCTGAGATGACCAACCATCTTTGAACAGATGCGGTCAGCCCAACAGACATGTTTAGTTACTAAAAGTAACTAAAATATAAAAGTATTGTTTTGAATGCCCTCTGTAACTTTGCTTTGTGTGGCAGCGTGCAGTTGATTCTACAGCGTTGTCCTGCTTCCTCTGCAGCATCAATAAACTTTGCTGTCACATGTTGTTCCTGTCGTGTGGTTCTGTGGGTTTCAGAAAGAGCAGCGATGGAAAATTTGAACAGTGTTTCTAACTGATACACACCTCTGTTCAGAGCAGATAACAAAGAACAGGCAGGCGGCTGAACCTCAACCACAGAGTAAAGACAGAAGGAAAATCATTCAGTGGTTGAAAAGAACAAAGTGCATGTGTGTGTTTGTTTGAAGAGTTTTAATTCATTAAATCTGTAAGAATTTTCTCCCTGGCTAGCTTTGTGTTAGCATGCTTTTGTGCAGATGTTTGCACAGAGTCAAAGTCACAAGTCATGATTTTTTTTCTGCCTTGAAGCAGTTTACACTTTACCATCACACACTCAGCCTCTCGTGCTACAAAAACAAAAGTAATATCTCCACTCATCAAAAGTTGTAGACCTCACCTACTCCATGTACACAAACTGACATCAGCTGATTGTAGCATTAAGAAAAACACATCTCATAGATTTTTAATTCATTCATTGTGCAGATAATTGAAGAGCCTTTGTAATGCAAGTAGCAAAAGTAGCACCACAATTGTAACATTATTACTGAATTTACTACAGTCGTGTGTAGCATTACTATATTGCTCTAATGTAAATGTGTAATTTTGGAAGGCATTACACCCAACATTAAACCACTTAAATCAGAAGGTGGACAGTATTAATTACTCTATGTGCAGTGTTGGGTTTATCTTGGCACAAACCCGCTGGAACACATGAACAACAAACTCCACAACAAAACAAGACAAGACAGAGCTCTTTGTCTTTGTGGTTCACGAGGGAAGTCAGTCAAAGTTGAGGAAAAGATTCCTTCACCTGAACTCAACCAACTTCATCTGATTCCTTCACTACAGCCCTTGTTATTGTCAGCAAGCAATCATTCAAGAATATGCAATTACAAATACACATGACATTCTTATATATAAAATATAAATATATTCTCAATCACATTCACACCACTCTCTTATATCAGTTCCACTACATCGAGACTATTTTATGGTGGTCAGCTGTTTTATTGTCATGTATTTTGCATAATAAGATAACCATTTCCTGCATTCAAAACCACTGAAAATGTCTATGGTGGTGCTGTACCTAATATTGTGCTCATTGGATCCAAAACCTATTTTTCCTTTATTTTGAAGGCTGAGGCTTAGATCCATTAGGTATTCACGAGAAAAAAATTATCACATGTCAGGATTACAGTATATCGAAAATATGTGATTATAAAGGGCGTCAATGGGACCCAAAATGGTACGAGGAGCGCAGATGGTAACACTTATGTGAATCTTCTTTACTATACACCACACCATAGAGGGGATCAATGAATTTTAAAAATAATCCTAAAATGCACATCATAAGTCAGTTTCATGCAACTAGTCTTTAAAATGACTGATATATTGAAAATCAAAAATCCAAAGTTACCCAAAAGGGTAACTTTTTTGACGAGGAACGCCCAAGGGTTAAGCAGGCATATCCGAACAACATCAGTGTCTGTATTCTGTGTGTGTGTCCAGCCATACTATACATAGACATACGACCTTTCAATGAACTTAAACTGTATGCAGAAAAGCAGAAGTAAATGTCTTGCTAAAATATAAAAACATGAACTTGCAATAGGTATGTCTCAAATACATATTTAAAGGTGTGACCTCTCGAACCTTTAAGAAAACATAACAGTCTGGTTTCAAAAGCTATAATAGAATTATAACGTCGAGGCTGCTTCCTCTCATCTCATGGTACGCAAGTGCACACAGAATCTTATCAGACCTAATAAGGATATGATTTTTGTCAGCATACAAATGAATACATATTTCTAAGCATAAATGATTATATAAAAACATCACTTCCAACATGCAGCCTTCCTGTTCTCATCTGAGGTCAGTGCTGCAGGGGATTTCATTTGATGTAATACCAAAAGTTACCACTAGTAACTAACACAACACAGTTTGGCATCTAGTTACAGAGGTTGCCTAAGCTCAGGTGATTGTTTAGGTGTTAATTTGGAATCATACATCTGTTGTGTATGTGTGAGTGTGTTTTTGCAAGCTTTCTGTCTAGAAATGCTCTTCTAACTACCCAAGATGAAACTATGATCTCGTGCTGCCACCTTCTGACATTGAAATGCTCCAACAAACCCTGTGAAAGTGAAACAGCTGTAAGTTGACATTGATACATAAATGTGTCCAGTTTAAGTCTTTATATGTTTGTAGACTCCTGATATTCACAGTCTACAATCCAATTTAGACAACACCCAACCTGCACAGCATCTGAAACCAGACATGATTGGGGCTGGATGCTCAGGGTTGTGTGGTTCGCCTTAAGAAAAAAAAAAAGAAAAAAATCAGTCTGTGTCCTCCATAGTTTTCCAGACACTGAATGGTTGCCGTATTAAAAACAGCTTCATTTGCAGTGTTTTAATGAATAAAACAACACATTTCCTTCACTGTCATATTGCTTCAATAAATACAGATCTATAGTCCTCAACTCTGTAGTCATGGAGTGCTCTGAGCAGATACTGTCTCAGCACATCAGAGGCTACCTCCCTCTCTCGATGGCCAAGTTATCTTATAGAGGAAATCGGTCCATGTAGGATGCTATCACCATCACCCTTTACAGAGCGCTGAGCTAGAGAACAGGAGGAGTTTTATTATGATGCTCTCTGTGGACTACAGCTCAGCATTCAACACCATAATCACAGACATCCTCTTATACCAGGCAGAAGTTGAGAATTTGTCCCGCTGGTGGTCAAAAAATGATGTGATGCTGAACAATGTTAAAACAAAACAGCTCATAATGTTCTCCAGGAGACACAGATGGGTCCACTCCCCACATTATAAATGGTGAACAGGTTAAATGTGTCTCCTCCTTTGGGTTTTTGGGCAACCACAGCACCACTTATCTCATGTGGACCCGCAACACAATCACCCTGATAAAAAAAATCCCAGCAGCGGGTGCACTCCCCCCATATCCTGAGGAAGAGTAACATGAGGAAGAGTAACATGGACCAGAAGCTGCTGCTGGTCCATGTGGAGAGTGTGTTCTCTTACTGCCTGGGTTTGGTGAGCAGCGATCACAGCTGAATACAGGAAGGCTGCACGTAGGGTAATTAATACTGCCCAAAGATCACTGACTGCCTTCTGCCGACCATGGGGGCCATCAACCTGTCTCAGGAAAACCAGGTCCATGAACTGCAGTCATTCAAAACTGGAAGCAGACATGCCAAGTCTCTCTCATTGGTAGGTGTGCAGTACTGTGCCAGCTGCAGTGGTTTTACTCCCAGCTGCTCTTTAATGTTTCCTTTTCATCAGCACAGAGGCTTTGCTTTTGATTTAGCTTAGCAACTCTGACAGACAAAGTTGCCATAAATTAAGCATTTTATTCAAATTCTATTTTATTATTTTTTCTACTCTTATTCATTTTCCATCTCTATATATTTATACTGTCCTGCACTGTAGCAATCAGAACATTGCCCTTAGACCCAAAGGTCAAGAAAAATGCCCGACAGATCTAGTTTCCAAGTGGACCTTTTGCTATACTGGTCGACATCATTGTCATAGTTTATTTGATCTTTATTATTTTAGGTTATTACAATCAGAACCGACAGGATTTGGGGATGGGGAAGAATAATAATAAGAAAAGAGTAGTTGGAAAGGTAACAGTAAATAATAAATACTGAATCACATGAAGTACACATGAAGGAGATCCAGGCTCCGGACATCCAGAGGCCCGCCAAAGCATGAGAGCCCCAGGAGGATGACCGGAGGGGCAGCCGTGCCACCCTCCTGGAAAGAGCTGAGGAGAGCCCCAGACGTGGGGAGATAGGTTCCCACACCTGTACTCGGAGAAGTGAAGTATAAGACCTGTCCTGACATTTCGTTGCACTGTCCTGCGTCTGTATCATCCTGTTCGGTCTAGTGTTACATTGTCTTGTTTGTTTGTTTTTTGCAATTTTTGTACATTGCACTTCACATAGTCCTATGTTTGTCTGTTAAATATGTCATATGTAGCACCAGGGTGTATAAAAGCATCTGCCACAGAAAGATAAGAGCCAGCAGGTAGCAGCAGAGGAGCTTGGTTTTCATCTGACCTTTGACCTTCACGGCATCTCCTCTCAGGGTTAACTACTCCCTGCGTGATATGCCTGCTCTTTGTGTCTTCTTCTGTGACTTAATGACAACTTCCTGTTAAGATTGTTTTATAATAATCCTGTCCACAGTGCGGGGGCCACTGTAGAAAGTATACAGTTCATTCAGTTCACAGTTTCACTCAAAGGTGCTGCGGCACCGCGATGTGCGACGGAGAGATTTCGCAGGTCTTACCTTTCAAATGCTGTCAGACTCAACAACATTATCTCTGCAAATGACCACACATGTGTAGACAGACCCACACCTTAAACACCATGGCAGGCTTCAACCAGTCTCCCTGATGTTCAATGTTTTCCTACTATAACAAAGCATATTATTCAATTTTCTACAGTATTTTATTCTTGTTGTATAGTCTGTTGTTCTATCTTATTCTTTTGTGTTTTTCTTAACTTTTACTGCTCTTTCTGCCATGCCCAAAAAACTTCCCATATGTGGGACTAATAGAGGTTAATCTGATTTT